TCCACCTACGCTGTTGAATACTTCACCTTCAACAGCAGATGCTGAATATCTATTAAGCTTCTTAGATGACTACTCTCTCACTCACTCAGTGACACAGGCCTCTCGACCAGCTTCTGGTAAGACTCTAGACCTGGTCTTGTCTTCAGCACCTTCATTGGTGACAAATGTGCAGATTCATTCCGGCATGAGCGACCATGAGGTAGTAATCTTTACAATCAACACTAAACCATCTCGTGTAAATAAGCTGCCACAACCACATGAACCTTGAGGGCTTAAAGGGTGCAGCTACAAGTATCAACCAGGAATTCTTCAATTCTAATCCAGATGCCTGTTCTGTAAATGGAAACTGGGTGATGTTTAAAACTTTTCTGGCTACAGCTGTTGACACCTTTATTCCATGGAAGATGACCAAAGCTAAATCCTCCTTACCTTGGGTGACCAAGGCTATCAAACGCCAAATGAGAAAAAGGGATAAACTACATTCGCTAGCCACCCACTCGAACAACCCTTCAATTAAAGCATCATACAGAAAACAGCGCAATAAAGTTGTGGATATGCTTCGGTCATCACATTCTGACTATGTCAACAATGAGATTGGAGGGAGCTTGGACTCTAACCCAAAACGGTTTTGGAATTACATCAAGTCTTGCAGATCTGAATCCATAAAAGTTCCAACACTTCAGAGCAGTAATAACCTCTATGTCTCCAGTAAAGATAAAGCGCAAGCCCTAAACAATCATTTTAAATCTGTATTTGTGGATGATGACGGTATCCTACCTGAAATTGGTTTATCTGATTATCTGCCAATTCCAAATCTGTCATTTGATGTTAATGGTGTCAAGAAGCAAATTTGCAATTTGAATCCCAACAAAGCATGTGGCCCGGACAACCTGCCACCTCGTATACTGAAGTTATTAGCTAATGAATTGTCTCCTGTACTTACCTTTCTTTTTCATCAAAGTTACGATTTCTGCAGGCTACCTGATGACTGGTCAAAAGCCTTGGTTACACCAGTATAATTTATTAAGAAGGGCAGCAAGCAAGATCCAAAAAATTACAGGCCCATTTCTTTGACTTGCATATGTTGCAAGATTATGGAGCGCATAGTACTTAGCCACATCCACAAGCACCTGTCCACAAATAACATCCTTTGTAAACACCAACATGGCTTTAGCTCCAGACTGTCTTGTGAAATGCAACTGGTCTCAGCCATTCACGAGTGGGCCTCCATTCTTAACATTAAGGGTAAGCTGATGTTATCCAACTCGATTTCAGCAAGGCCTTCGACAAAGTATCTCATCCAAAGCTCTTACATAAGTTAAGTCACTATGGTATTCAAGGCCAAACCTTATTATGGATAAAGGGTTTCTTCAGCAACCGCTCCCAAAGTGTCAGTGCAAACGGCGTACACTCTACCCTGTGCAAGGTTATTTCAGGTGTTCCACAAGGGTCTGTCTTAGGCCCCACACTTTTCTTGATGGACATAAATGACATCGTGCGTGACATCAACTCAAATATTAGACTCTTTGCTGACAACACCATTATGTACCGACAGGTTGTATCGCCTGGGGATCATCTTATCCTTCAACAAGACCTTGACAGACTAACTTCATGGGCCTGTCTTTGGCAGATGGAGTTTAATGTTAAGAAATGCTACCATACTTCCTTGACCAACGAGCGAACCGTTGTCATACTACCATATTACATGCATAGTTAGGTCTTGGAACATGTAACTTCCTGTGATTATCTGGGTGTTAGATTAACAAGCAAGCTAAATTGGAAAGAACACTGTGATAAAACTTCCAACAAAGCCAATAGGGCTCTCGGGCTGGTCAAACGGACTTTCAATCATGTACACCTGAAGTCAAGGAAAGAGCCTACAAAGCAATTATTTGACCTTTACTAGAATATGCAAGTGCTGCCTGAAATCCACACGCAAACAGGGACACTGAAACTATCGAAAGAGTCCAGCGACGGGCTGCTTGTTTCGTCGTGCATAATTACGAGAGATCTACAAACTCGCAAGATCTTGTAAATCAACTTGGTTGGGACTCCTTGGAATCCAGATGTTTGCTGGTCCAAGTGACTCTTTTTTATAAAATCAAAAACAATCTCATAGATCTTGAATTCCCATCTTCTATCCAACCAGCTCCTAGACCAAGGATCCAACATCGTGCTCCAGCCCCACTCAAGTGTTTTGGTGTGCAGTTATTCTCCATTTATACGAACTGTTCGGGTATGGAATAAACTGTCAACTCAAACAGTCCAAGCTGAGAACATTACTTCTTTTAAATCATTAGCCATAAGGGACATTCAGAACATGAAGACCCAGAACCGCCTGAAAAGATTTTGAACTATTTACATCTATTGTTTCTTTTAGACTTTACGTATTTATTGTAGATTATTAGTACTATTAATTAGGTATTCTATATCTCCCAGCATTAGCCCAGCTATTTGGGAGTATAAGTTCCAAGTACAAAGTGGACCGCCAAAATGCTTTCATACAAGCTTGGCGAGTTCAGAAGTGAAGTCGTGTCCCTGGCCGATCTGTGGATGGCTACCAGGACCTACCAAGGCTTTCTGGGCCAGTTTTGAGTGGCAAAAGTCTCGATCGATGTGATTTTTGCTGGTAGGACTGGGTGGCCCGACACGATTCTAATTATTTGTTACCTTGTCAAGTTGTGGTGGAATTTCCCAGAATTCTTCTCGGTCATCAACGAGGCAAAGGTTGTGTTTGCGACACTAGCTTTTGTCAAAAGGAGGAACAAGGGCTATCGAATGAAGTGAGAAGGCATTTTCCAGTCAAACAGCAATATCTGTCCCTGAGGTGTGTTTTGAATGCAAACTTTTGATTTCTTGAGAGGGTTTTGATCTTAAAAGATCGACACTTTTTCAGTGTTGCTCTTGGAGCAGAATGCTGGATTTTTGGGATTTGTCATTATATGAACAGTTCACTGCAATGGAAATCGGGAATCATTGTGGGTGTTTTAGGCTGCAGTAGGTGTCACATCAAACAGCCTTGCAATGTGCACACTTACATAATGTTGTCTCTTAATTTCAACAAGAAACAAATAACAACAGTAGTGGGCGTAATTACGCCTATATATATGTGGCTTGCTAGAAAAGGGTTAAGCAGGAGGTTAAGCAGTTGTTGTAGAGTGGGCATTGGTCTTTAGAGCGGCAGTTGCATGGTTTCTGGTTGTTGGTGTTGGTGTCATTGTGGGTTATTTTTTTGTTGTGTTTGCCAACAACTGATTTCATGTTGTCCATCGGAACTCATCTCCAAATGCCGCCATGAGAACAAATACTACTCGAAGAATAGCTAATTACCACCAAACACCACAATAGACTTTTATCATGCTACCCACTACCACAGATTATTAGTTTGCGTTCGCTGCCACTTCATTCATAATGCCTTAGCCCCATTGTAATGCCACAATTAGAAATAACAGTAATTTTTTAACACACTTCTATATATAAACTAGCTTGTAAGGAGTATTCTTCATTAAATCTGTCTGATGAGTGTGTAAGCACGAAACTCTGAGGAACAGAAACCATGTGTCGTCTTGTTTGATCGCTACCCACTGTACATATGTAGACATATACACATATACAATAGACTATTATCCTGCTACCCACTACATATACATATACCTATACATACACACACACGCAGACACACATATACATACATATATACATTCAAAATGTCAGTGCCAAAGATAATATCTCTTACAAGAAATTGCCCTTAGGAGTTCAATGCCATCAAGAAGTTGCATCCCAAATGCTCAAAAGATAAAACTGGCTATGTTTTCAAATGTTACTGTTTAGGTGATGTTGCAATGACACTCACATCTTGTAGAAAAAGACCTAGAAGTTTCATAGCAACATTTGACAAAATTGAAAATTCTTACTTAAGTAAAGTAAAAAGAGTAGGCAGAAAAACATTTCAGAAATTTTCAGCCAAAAATGCTTGGATTATATCAAACAAAGAAGCTGCAAGCAACTCTGAAGATTTTCCAGTTTGATGTATCTTGGACCTGTAGGTTTCCTGTAGAAAAAGGCTTCCTTCCCAGCATAATTTGTATTAAAAATGTGTCCTTCTGACTCCTTTTGCCCTATGCAAGAATAAGCCAGCTAAATTAGGCATCAGAAATTCTCCCCCATCCTGCGATGACTAAACGAACATAAGGACATGAAAATAAATAAGCGGCTTATTGGTAAAACAATCATTCCACAGCAACACCCATTTGATGTAAGTCATATCTTAGAAGTTTTGGCCATGGCAGCATTTCAGGATTGAACAGATTGTCTAAAAGACTACCATTGGCCTGTTGGTGCCACTATGTAGCCCCTTTAAGTACAGTAGGCAAGTGAAATATCTCGTTCTATATCAGAAGTGACTTCTTATCAGGAGGAAATTAATGAATTCTGAGGGATGGTCACTTCTCTGGAAGATTAAAGATCTCAAAACTGTCATTCTTGTGCCTGTGGTTGAATGAGGTTTAAGAATTCAGAAATTTAAAAGGAAAATGGCCAAACTGAAGTTGTGACTCAAGACTCAGACTTAATCCTATTTCAAGCTATCTATGTCAGCAGTTGAGAAATATCATGAAAATTGACTGTTGCATTAAATACATGAATAATTGTACTGGTATGTGTAAGAAATGCAGTTTTAGGGTTATTATTCAACCAACAATTTGTTCCTGTTTGGAGCAATTTCACAGGCTTTTCTGATAGTTCCCTTGATTTTTTTTTTTTTTTTTTTTTTTAATTCTTTAGGTGCTGATAGTCAAATCTTTGTCATACGATTTATTTCTGCAGAATAACAGGAATAATTTAGAATAACTATTTGCATGGAGATTGTAGGATTTCTGTGTACTTTATTTTTTGAAAATGAAATCAAACTAACAATAAAAATAACTTCTGCGCAATTTCAGTCATGCTTTAAATTGATGTAGAAACCCATATAACACATGATGTGTTTTCTTCTCTATAAGATTGTAGTGGACTGGTTAGAAAAGAATGCAGAGGATTGGCTGGAGATTTTTTTAGAAAGTGACAAAGTAGAGTACTTTTCAGCGTCAGTTTGCTGGTAAGTTAATATTTTGGAGTTTTCACTTAATCAGGAATCATTAACTCCTCCTCTAATATGGTGTGTCATGACACGGCCTCCTCTGTGGCTGTCCGTGAGTAAACATGTGCTAAGGTGAATGCACAGGCACAGTAAAATGACACTCTAAACAATACTGAATCTACGCAAATATTGTCATTATGTTGACGTATGTTGGTATGGACAGCTATTAAAAAAATTACATTGACTCAGTAAAAACTTTGGATAGTCTTTTATCTTAAGAAGAAGAGGGGTTCAAATGCTGTTTGGTTGTTTCTTAAACTCTACCAATCTGGTAGCTTTGCGATGATTTATCTCAGTTCAGTTGAGTATTTGCCGATTTGGTAAGATGCTGGTTTACTTTGTTTGCATTCGTTTGATGAGTTCTTTTTCATTCCATTCATTTTTTAGTAGGTTTTTTCTTTTCAATATGGTTAGAAAGCTTATCAATTAATAAAACATCTTGTTATGCAAGTGAAACTCAAGTTGTTATTCAGCACTCTTGTCAAATGCAACAATTGGCAGTTCTAAGAGCCGCATCTTAATGCAAACATGCATCATGGCATGCAAGCCTTTTTGCATTGGTGTCAAGTAGCGTGCATGCATTTTCACATGGTGTCATATTACACACTGAGCATGTGATACAGTGCAGTGCTTGAAACAGCCAAACAAAACTTTCTGTGTCTTCCTTCGTTTTGTGTATTATTTATGTACATATCTGCAAATATTTGACATGCATCGGGTGCCATGTCATGACACACCATATTAAAGGTTTTTCTGTGGAGGGTCACAAATAGTTATAATTCCACTACAAAAATATTTTAGATCCTGAAGAATGAGCCTGAAAAGGGTCCTGTGCAAGATTGTCAAATTCCTGTATAAATTCCACTTCCCACGAACTCATTGTAGCTTTCCTTTTTTTAGCCGATTGAATGCTTTTTAATTAAGTAGTTAATATCTAAATTAGTTTAATTTTACTATCTGTATTATGTGAGTAAATATGCAATTCAGTTTTTTAACTGCTATGTATTTATGAATATTTACTGCATTATATAAATAAACTTCAATAAACCTCCACCTATCAAACCATAAAATAAAAAAAGAGATGCAGCAGGTTTCACCTTGGTTAAATTTGGCCAAGCCTAAAGTGAAGCCCCAGTTAGCCTGGAGCAGGAACTTCCTTTAAGCTTATTTGTGATGAGAAGAAGCTTGCTGATATTGAAAGAGATTTTAAGAAGGAAAGATGAAGCTTTACTGCAGCTGGATGATGTACACAAAATTTAATATAAAAGGTCTAGATATACAGATGAGAAATCAAAGCAAAATACACTGTCTCAGAATGAAAGTAAATTAATCACCAGATGATGATGTGCATACATGTATAAAGCAACCTTCCTTCAAGTAGGCTGCAATGCAAGCAATTGCCTAAAAAAAAAGCGTGGAAAAATTCAGGCTTAAATAGGACTGAGCTACAAAACACACATTTGGATTCTGTGTACCCAGTCAGTCAGGGTGGTCCTGTTTGACTGCCGCAAGGCCTTTGACTACATTGACCATCAACTGCTCACCCGTAAAATCTACAGTCTCGACATTCCCTGGGGCGTGGCATGTTGGGTGGTTGACTTATTAGTGCATCGTTATCAACGTGTAAAACTCTCTGCTGATTGTTTCTCTGAGTGGGGCCCTATACTAGCTGGCATGCAAAGTCATGGTCATTGACTTCAAAAGGCAGAAACACCATTTCACTCTTCTCCTTGTAGACAGCAAGGAATTAGAAACTGTAGAGATGGCCAAGATTCTGGGCGTGACTATTTCGCTTAACCTTAAGTAGAATAACCATGTTAATGATTCCATCAAAAAAAACAAACAAACAATTATACTTTTTAGTCCTTCTAAGGAGAGCCCACGTTCCAGCAGAAGATATAATTAATTTCTATTGTACAACAGTATGTCCTGTTCTGGAGTACAGTGCGCAAATATTCCCTCATGCATTACCCGCATATCTTAGTGATGACATCGAAAGGGTCCAAAGGCATGCATTATCTATTATTTCACCAGAACTGTCATATCATAACTCCCTAGATAGGCATGGTTTAGCTTCACTCTGCGACAGACGCAAGAAGTTATGTATGGATCTGTTTTTGTCCATCTCAAATCCATTTCATAAATTATACAGTTCGCTGCCAGATAGACATCATTCAGCATACAACACCAGACGCCAGTGCATTTTTAACATGCCACGCTTCCGCACTGATCGTTTCAAGTCTTCATTCATTCCGGCTATATGCGCGAGGGCTAATCTAGGGTCTTAGCATCAACTGCGTATTTATTCCACTGCTGTATAATTGTCATTATTTTAGGTCTTAGAATTTTTGTAAATTTTGTAGTTTTATATAGTCTCAGATATATATTTATAAATAATTGTGAAAATTTTTATTTTTTGGTAATAAACTATCTATATATCCATAAAAGGAAACTGTTCACAATTTAAGAAGTGCAACTGCAGAGAAAGAAAATTGTACACACAAAATTGATATGAGGGTTTTCTTTTTCATCACCTGGGGTTAGTATTTAATGTTAGAGATTTTTTTTCTATAGTTTCAAAATGTATATCCCTTTGTTCATTTAGGGAGAACACCCTACACACCCTGCAACAAGGAAACAATTTGGGAACGAGAAGACCTCTTGTTACAGAGATGGTAATATCCTTGTCTCTTATTGGGTTGGACAATGGAATGTTAATGAAGATGTTTATAACTCTTCTTGTTTTTGGAAGTTTAATTTGGACTAAATGATGCAAAGAACATAAGAAATAAAGGAAAGTTTAATTATTTGTCTTATAATGTGAGAGGCGGGCTAATCAATTGTGTATTAATTGCCCCATTTCAGTCAACACATGATTAATTCGCCTGACTCTTATATCATGAGACATTAAACACTAAATTTATCTATAAAACCATGATAGACAACATCATTTTTTATAACCAAACCAAGTAGCCATTCAGCCCAAGCCTAGCCAAGTTTCCATAGCATGAAACAACTAGGAGTATTACTATTCCCCCCTGGATGGGATGCCAGTCCATCATGAGTTACCCCCAGAATTCCATCAGTCTTCACTCTCCTGGGTGGAGAGTTCAAGACACTGAAAGCAAAGTGTTTTGCCCTTGAACAAAACACTATGACCCAGCTGGGTCTCCAACCTGGACCTTTTGACTGGAAGTCCAGCCCACTGCATGTAACTATTAGGCCAGCATGTCTCTCCCACTGGACAGTATGTTGTTTTAGTTCATCACTTAAAATATTTTTTTAAGAATCTGTCTGTTATATAACAGGATCCAGATGCCCCAGTTAGACAGAACCGACCTTTAGCTGATTTAGATCAGGTATGATGTAAAGACTAATGTCTTGATATTTTTTTTTAAGGCAAAGTTTTTAAAGACCCACTTAAAGTTCAATTTCACTTTCAAAAGACAGATCTGATTGATTTTTGTTGGACCTATTCAATGTCTCTTGTCATAACAACAGCCATTTGATGCAGAATTTTACCAGCACCTTTAACATCACTAATTGGTCAATGTGCTGCATCTATAGATCAAGTTGTCAAGTTCAAATGTTTGATCTACGTAGTTTAAACAACCTCCTTTTTTGTATTTTACTACAGGAAGATGAAGCCAGGTTGTTACAGCATCTTTTTGCCTTAATTAGGGCTGGTAAATTGGAAGAGGTGAGGATAATATTTATATTAATGTCTCAGTTTGTGTGTGCACTCTGAGTGGTCTATTTAGTAGGCCGTATTTCATTGTAGTACCCACTAAATTTGTTTTGTTGTCAAAATGTTTCTTGAAGAAAAATTTGAAACACATTTAAAGGAAAAGTTTGCAAGCAAAGAAAAAAACAAAACTCAGAAGCAGATGTCCCAAATTTTCAAGTTGATTTCTAAGAGCCTTGGAGGAAGACATGGGGTGGAATCAAGAAAAATGAGCATGAGGAAGATAACTCAAGTTGAGAACTAGATAATTTCATCACCACTGAAAGGTCATCAAATACAGAAAAAAAGTCAAAGTATGACTGGAAAAGCAAACAGCAGGTCTATGAAAATTATGATATAATGAACATACCTGTTGTTGCTCTTGACAAGTTCCTTAGCAAGTTCTTTAACCCATTAACGTCCAGTGCGCCCGTATGCGCCCATGGGGACCCACACCCTTTCTACACCCTGTGACGTCATCAATTTTTACTCTGGAGCACGAACTCGAGCATGTACTTAATTGGGTTGAAAATATCTTGCAGACGATACCAGAATGAGCGCAATTGAGTGGAGGAGATTGGAGAAATAGCCAAAAAACCGTGTCACTTTGACTGGAAAATCTGCACGAAGATCGTGTTTCACTACCCACCTACCTTTCCGAGCATGTGCTTTGAAAATAATGAGTAGTTTCTGAAAAATCTCTACACCAAAATGAAGCCAACTCAATTTCCAGCAAGTGAGGAGAAACTTTAGGCAAGGAGAGGGGAAAAAAAGGGCAGGAGAAAGAGAGAAAAGTAGAAGTCGTAAGTGGGGCGTGACTTTTCAACCCAAGAACTATGTCCAAATTTTGCTCTCTGCGCGTGCCCGAGATTTTCAGGCCGCCATTTTGCATTTGCATCGAAAGGCCGTCGAATGCACGAGCTGTCAAGTGGTTTTTGGTAAGTTCGAGCTTTTAAAACCCCAACAGTGACCCGAAATCTGCTGGACTAGCTTCAAAACACAGTTTTCCACAAAAGCTGCGGCCGTTAATGGGTTAAAGATCTCTGCAAGCAAAATGGCAGCAAGTACAAACCATACAGTATTTCAAGCTTTCAAAAAAACTATACTTAAGTTATCTTTTCTGTGCTCTTCTTTCCCTATTTGCTGCTTGTCTTCCTCTAAAAACTCTCCAAAGTAGGTTCAGTTCCCAAGCAATGCCACATTCTTCTATCTTTGTAAGTAAGTAGGTAAGTAGAGCTTTAATTGAATCCATATGGCAGCCATCTAAGGCTGAATTGCATGAATTTACATATGCCATTAAGACAGGCTTATAATATGAAAAAGTACTAAAATCTACAAAATTAAGCTCTAATTTATAAAAATTCATACTACGAAAACTGCTAACTCCTGCACATAAGTGGCAGAAATGTGCTAGAAAAACACTTGGTATGCATGACAGGATTGGCAAAGTGACGTTGTCTTCTAAAGTTATAATGACAATAGTTCTTGGGAGGGAGAAAATCGTGCAACTTATGATCTGGAATAGATACAATAGAATCAAACAATTTTTCGCATTGATGTAGCATCTGTCCTCTAAAGATGCCATGTTGTATATTGACAGGCTGTCATCGTAAGAAAGGCCTGGAGAAATAATTGATAGTGCACATTTTTGAATGTGTTCAATATCCTTACTCAAGTAGTCAGGCAGTGCGTGATGGTACAGTGGGGCACAATATTCTAGAGCTGGCCTTATACAAGAAAGATAGAAACAAATGATATCATGTGCTGGAACATTTGCACGCTTAAGTAATGTAAGAAAGTATATTCTTTTGTTGGCCTTTTGAATTACTTCCAAGACATGACAATTCCATTGGAGCGTGTTAGTTATGGTACCGTAACTCCTAGCAATTTTACACTATCTACGCATTCGAGATCTTGAGAGTTTACAGTAACTTCGTGAAAATGATGTTTAACCTTCTTAAAGTCAATAACGAGTTCCTTGCATTTATCCACGTTCAGCTGGAGCTTGTTGATTGCAGACCACTGCTCAACAACGTTGACAGAAACCTGCATTCCACTTTGACCACCTTGGAACCAACTCAGCGAGCGGGGTGTCATCCACGTATTTCCATATGTCAGATCCAGAAGGGTGGAGATCATTTATCATCAATATGAAAAGCCAAGGGCCAAGTTTTGTGCCCTGGGGCACGCCTGATGGAATGGTGCCCCATTTGGAGAAGCAATTGCTAGATAGCTTGACTCGCTGGTGTCTATCCATGACAAAGTTGCAAACCCAAAGGGCAATTCCGTGAGGAATGCATGAACCCAGAATTTTGGCAGCTAGGGTGCCATGATCTACCAAGTCGAAAGCCTTTCTGTAATCCAAGCACACCACGTGCACTGCTGAGCTGGTTCCATCTGTTGCTTGCGCCTATGTGTGGATCATTGAGGTGAGGGGTAATAGGGTTGAGGAATTGGGGATAGCTCCAAATTGGTTAGAATCAATCGTCTCCAAAACTGGGGGACCATTATATTTGCCAACCACAAAGTCCTCAGCTAATTTGGACAAAGCTGGTGTCAGGGAGATAGGTCGAATATGCTTGGCGATGTGACAGCGGCATCCTTCCAGGACCTTGGGAGTTTCTGCTCAGCAAATGATGCATTGCATTCAGAATGTTGCAAACCGGAAAAGTTAAGAAGCCAACATAGTCCCGAAGAAGCCAGTTGTTGATGCCATCTGGTCCCCCGGCCTTCCTCAGATTCAACTGCAAAAGAGCATTAAATACCTCAGAGGGGCTAACGACTAGAAGCTCAGAGTTGTCTGCAAGTGGGGGTAGACATGAAAGCAGCGTATAATCCTGCATCGGTTCAAGAAGAGCTGAGTTGATCATGTTTGCAATGTCCTGATTAGTGTGCGCCACAATCCCGTCAAGGTGTAAATGCGAACATATGTTTTCCTTACCAGTAGCCGGAGTCATTCCAGCAATCATTTTGACTTTTCTCCACCACTGGCTAGGCTTGGTTTTCTTGAGGTTAGTGACTTTCAATGTGTAGAACTTTCCACGACACACCTTTCGCTCATGATTGGTGATGTTCCAAAGATGTTTACACATGGGGCATATTGGTCAGGATAAGATCTAGTGTCTGATTACCCCTTGTTGGAACGTGTACAAGTTTCTTTAACTTGGATTGGGTTTGAAGCCTACTGATGTTAAGCCAGTTGAAATCCCCAGATAATAGAATGCCACAACCAGGACAGCACCCTGCGATAGTCTTAAGCGAAGAAGTAAGATAGTCAATCATAGCTGCATCACTGGATCCGTTAGGATACAACGTGTGGTAAACTGTACCTGAAACAATGCAAGGGAAACCTCTCAGTAATCACACCAGTCTAAGGTGAGCCCACAGCACCTCCAACACAGGATGATATAAGTCAGTCAAGGCTTTGTAATTGATGGTGTTATTATGTAAAGACCCACTCTGCCATGGACACTGGAATTTCTGTTCTTTAGGCACAAAATGATTATAGCCAGGAAGCTGGAGATGATGTTCAGCAGCCGTGTCGTCGTAGATCCAGGTTTCAGTCAGTGATGTGAGATCCGACTTATTATTGGCAAAGCACCTAAGTTCCTCGATCTTAGGGTCAAGAGACATCATATTCGCTAACACTACAGAGGGACCAAATTCCCTACTGTTTTGGTGCATGGTAACAGAAGCGTGACAAACTTGAATGACATGGCGTGACAAAGGTAGTGGCAGTGGCAGGTTTGGTATGCAAATTCGTCTACTTGGAAAAACAGATTGAATATTTGATGAGTTAATAATGGTTCCGCAATTTCAGAACTCTCCCAGCTCAGCAACTACAGAAAGGTCGTAAAATTCTGCAGTCGTGAAGTAGATTAAAGGACGTTCCATCAATTGGGATATGTTTGCATAAATTCCCAAACCAACGTAGTTCACCAGGTGAATAGTAGCGTTCAGGGCAATGATGCACATTGTTGACTTCACTTAGCGGGAAACTTGAGATGGATGAGAACAAGTTTCGACAACCAGACGGGCAAACCAAACATCAACAAGAAGTTGGCAGCATGTCCAAGGCATAAGAAGTAGATCTTGGAAGTTATATGTGTGAAAATGAGGTCTATAACTTGAGAAAACTTAAAAAATTGGTGAGCCAATAAAACGTGCAGCCACTTGAGGAGCATACATTAGTGGTTGTCAACAATCATTGGCTCAATTTCCAACTATGTCTTTAATCTTGTTCACTATGCACCAAGTGATCCACCTTGAACCATCCATGAAAACACAGGAAAACACCAAAAATTGGATACTAATCATTGGAAAGGTCCTTGTGATGGTTTTGATTGCATTGATATGATTCATCCATTCAACTGACTTTGACATAGTACAAAGTTAGCTGTTAGTTTAGCGGTTAGTTCACACTTTCCACAAAGAAACATTTTGTGCCCTACAGATTTCCGGCATTTGAAAAAACTCTTGAGAAAAGAGTTATGTTGAGAACATTGTATCACACTTCCTTGCAGAAAACCTTTGTATACTTGAAATGTTTTTTTCATGCAGTTTTGTATTATTTTGAACCATGGGTATTAACAGATATTTTAACTTTTGACCACTTGAAGTCCAGTTTTTACTGGAAGCCAATAAAATGCTCTAGTGCCTAGGATTTGTTGCACATCAATCATTAATGGCCATTCTGCTTGAATTGATTTTTCCCTTCTATTTGAATCAAGAGTTGCAATAAATACCTCCCTAATCTCATTTTTCTTAGTCCGTAATGTAAGTTAAGGGACCACGTTTTTTACACTTGATTTAAGGCCAGCTAGCTTTGCACATGGGCAGTAAATCTGAGCAGAAAGGACTTGGTCTGTTACTTACAGTATGGCATCCAAACTTAGTAGGAGGTATTTATCCACTTGGAAGTAAACTTCAGTCTTCCTTAATCCTTTTTTCTTTCCTTCAGGCCCAATGTCTGTGTGAGAAGTTTGGTCAGTCGTGGAGGGCTGCAACTCTTCAGGGATGGAAACTATGGCACGATAATAACATGGATGGAGGTAAAAGTTTATGGGTGTGTAACCATGAAGTAGCTTGAAGGAGCCTCTGATTTTATGATTACTATCATTAAAACATGGAAGGCAATATTACTAAACACTGATTTATGACACAGCAATTACCAAAATTGAGAGAACATCAAAAAATGCTTAAATTTTCCTAAATGTATTTTAATTTCACTGATGATAAATGTTTTTTTAGTAGGGCTGGTTTCATTGCTTTGGTTTTATTGTACAAAAATAAAATTTCATTCTGCTAATTTCCACATTTTACATTTCATTGATGCTAACTGAACACTGATATGGCATCCAATGAAAGTGCATAACAACATGGATTTTTGACCTTCATAAATGAAAATTTTGCCCTTTATGAGGGGGGCATTGGGGCCTCTGGGAAACCGCAAAACTGGATTAAAAAAAACCTCCAAAACCAAAAAACCGACGAAAAGGCAGAAAAACCGAAAACCGCATGCAAACCTGACAAAACTGCTACATTTTCAGCTAAAAGGGGTCAAAAAGGAAAAACCGAAAACTACATCAGAGTTTTCATGAAAACCAAAAACTGAATGCAAGAACACGTAAAATCCGCAAACCACTCTGAACATCAAAACCGAAAAACTGAACCTTTTTGGCCCAAGAACCCAAAAACCGATCCAAAAAACAGTCAAAACTGCAAAACCGAAAATCCCAAAGCCCCCCTCCTTGATATTATATACAAGTAATAGCTTGTTTCCTCATAAAATTAACGATTGATATCACTTTGTTTTCAGAAGTTGGAGTAATTGCCCTGATTTCCGCTCAAATTTCTGCAGCTTCTGTTAACATGAGTGATATTGATCCTCTTATTTACTTGGTCGCTTGGATTACCTATACAGATTACGGTATATTGTTTGTACTAGAGCTATATAAAACAAACAAAGATTTTCTTTCCATTCGCTCCGACGAAGGGCTAATGTTCGAAACATCAGCTTTTGTAATCGTTACAGTGGCCAATTTACCATTTCAACTTTGTTGATATATCCAAAAGATTTTCTTGCATGCATAATTATTTATGTTAATACAGTATAAATGTTTGGACCAAAACAGTTTTCACTCTATACAGTCTCAAGGGATGAAACTTTATCAGTCATTGAAGGAAACCCGTATAGGGATGTGTGGAAAGCAGCTTGCTGGAAGATGTCAGAGGAGGTTAGTGTACCTTTTTGTCCTAATACAAGATACCTGAAGCACTTTTTCCTTGCTTTCCATCTTTTGCAACAAAAAGCTTTGGGTTGAAAAAGGAGCTACAGTATATTACTCCAAGTTTTTTGCATGATTCACACCCAGGGTACTTCAGTAGTTTTGTTTGGTGACCCCAAAAGGGTTGATATTCACTGCAAATTACTAGGTTGGTAAGTACCCTCCATAGTTACTTGTCACACCATATTCTGTAACGTCATCAATTAAATAGAGGATATTACATGACTGCACCAAAATACACAATTTCTCTGGGAGTGTTGAAAAGTAGTTCAAGAGTGAGCAAGCTAACAAGTGAAATATTTTTTAATACAAGAAGAGAAATTTCATATCTCCAAGTGGCCATGTAATATTCTATTTATTATATAGACACTATGAAAAACCAAACTGTTTCACTTTTGCTGCAAAAAGTGCAATCTATTATGTAACCATGGTGAAAGTGTTATTTTCATGCATGTAGAATGTTTTGTTGTGTAGTATCACTGAGTTTTTTTACAAGTTGTGCCATATATTGACAAGCCTGGGCGAGTCAGAATACAAACAATGAGTAAAATACTCGGCCATACTACACAACAAAACCTTTAAGAAAGATGTATTATCCAACATGCCAAATTGTTATTTCAGTTGCGGTGAATAGGCCTTTTGCAGCTGGGGTCACGTGATCAATTTTAGATATATATTATGGGATACAACTTGAAGAATACCAGAGATGGAAAGAGCATATCGAAAATACCAAAACGGCCAAGTTTGGGCCCTGGGAATTACAGAGCACTGTTTTTACAGCGGTTTGAACTTTCGGAAAATTTAGAGGATTTGTATGGAAAATGTTACTGGAGAGCAAGGCCTTGCTCTCCAGCAACTTTTTCCATTTTAACCTTCTTATTTTTTAAAAAATTCAGAGTATCATCAAATCTCATTTTGGCCTCAAACTTGGCCATTTTGTCATTTTCAAAATGCTTTTTCCTTTTTTGAATTCGGCTAAGTTATAGCCTATAATTTCATGAAAAGTAGGTCACGTGATGGCTTAGCTGCAAAAGGCCTATTTCTTTTTTGTGAATTCGATCCGATTCATTGCTTCCATGATGTGAGGAAACCTGTCTTGTTGGTTCTCTGGAGTACAAATTCAGCAAGATATTTGTTCTCATTTTGAGTGTTATTTGTACTCTACAAAGCACAGTTGGATAATAAAACATGTTGTTTTCATATGTGAAGATATTACATCTTCACATGAAAGCTGACGTGGTATTTCATTGGTGTTAATATAATGTATGCTTGCATGTTTTTAAATCCATCAGAGCAAATTCAGTGCATATGAGAGAGCTATTTATGCAGCACTCAGTGGAAACCTCACCCAGGTACCTGTGTTAAATAAAAATAGAGTATGTGTTAGCTGGTGTAACAAAACTTTGTGCACAATTCTTGAAGTTATTCAATCCATTCCTGACCTTCACACTTGAATGTTTGTGTAGAAGTCAGGAAATGAATGTTGTGAATCAATTTACATTTTGTTGAACTATATTTTTCTTTGTTTCAAACTCGCACATGTATTCACCAAAAACAAGAATAAATTTGAATTGGGGAATCTTATTATTAGGAATATAAAGAATAAGAAAGATGGTAAGATTTGAGCTTGGTAAAGAAACACAGAAAGATGTTTCTTTTGTCTTGTCACGAGCATGGGACACAGGAGAAAAATTCAGAGTCCCCATGAGGAATCATACCTCAGACCTTCAGATTCCATGCTCAGATGCTCTACCAATCAGCCAGAGAGACTCTGTGGTGAGCAAGGTCCATTACAAAGTTCAAACATGACATGTATCCTGCAAACATGACATGCATCCTGCATACCTCCCAGTTTCTTCTATGTGAATCCAAAAGAGATGGAGGCTGACTCGATAGCCTCACAGTTTTCTTAGCCTCCATGCACAAACTATGGAACACTGTTACCTTTAAATTTTTACATATGTATCCTTTCCTGTTTTTTTTTTTTTGTGTTAATATTGTAACTAAAACCTGAGTGGTAAATAAAGTAAAGTTCAAAGGTGTGTCACCGAATCAGTGATGAACTGAATAACTGGGTAAAAGAAAGATTTCCACTAAGCCAGGATGCAGTACTTTTTTCTGTTATTGTGGTTTACATGGAAATGATATGTTATTTAGTGCATTTATTTCACAGTGAATGCATTTGGGTAAATGATAAGGTTTGTGTGACATTGTGATCTTTAGGAACTTTTGATTTCTGTAAATATAGACAATCTTCTAACAGTTAGGAAACGTCATAGTTTATTTTGTTGTACCTAACAAGCCCCCTTGGTGCAGTATTTTCAAAAATTATAAATTCAATTGGGAATCGGCCAACAGGACTGAAACTAGCCCCCTTGTTTGCTTCCTGACCTTGTCAGGGTAGGTAAGTCTGGCAACAGCTGTTCTCGGGAGTTACCATTCATAGCACATGTCTTTGGTAAAGTGTTCTGTTGGGTGACTTAAACCACTCTAATTGGATGTTGTCGAAATAGTTGATCCCAACAGAATGTGAACAGTAAATTTTTGAAAAGATAAGACTCCTTTCACCGATACTCAAAACTGCAATCTTTGAGAAGATTTGAAGTACCACATCAAAGGACTTTTTAAGGTAAAATGAAATAACTAAGTGCAATTGCTCTAGCTGCTCCCAGATTTTCCATAATCACAATAAGAGATTCTTTAGTGCAGTTAAGCTTTCCCTTCAAATGATAGACAACCAGGCAAAAACCCATGATATTCTATTTAATTCACAGCTTCTACAAGTTTGTAAGTCATGGGAAGACTATCTATGGGCATTTTACAGAGTTATGGTAGATGTTAGGGTGGAACAGGTAAATATTGACTTGTTTTAGCTGCTTTACAAGTCAGCAAGAAATGGGTTAGTTAGAGTCAAAAGAGAGATTTTTAAGGAAAGAAAAGGTAGACTTCTCACATTTTTTTAAAATCTAATTATGGGTATATGTTTCGTAGTTGTTTCAGCAACATGGCTAAACCGTTTCCAAGACTTTTACAAAGAATTGGTGCAAACTTTTGACATGTTCCTCTTCTTTGTAGGAAATTCGCCTTCACCCCAGGCCTGAAAGAGATCTGGAAAGCTTGCCTTCCGTTTTCTGGGATCATGTGTAAGTGCAATTCTTGTTTTTGAGCTGCTGATTACCTCGACTGCACATGGATGAAATTTGCCTACTGCAAGGTACATTTTGGCAAAACTGTCTAGGTTCTAGCCATACTCAACACAGATGGCATATGAAGGTGTAGTCTGATCGTCCGGGTGAGTGTAGTCCTGAGGACTGTTGTCGGTGGTAGTGACTGACGTTTCGACAACCGGTGCGGAAGTCATCATCAGAGTCAAGTGAATGATTGTTGTCAGTCAAGTGAATGTGAGGCGTGAGTAGTCCAGTGGTCAGTGCGCTGGACTCTAGGTCAGATGGCCCGGGTTCAAGTCCTGGCTGGGGCTTGACGTTGTGTCCTTAAGCAAGACGCTTCACTCACATTGCTTCGTCTTCTCGGATAGGACGTAAAGCCGGAGGTCCCGTCTCCTGCACCTATCAATTAGTTAATTTCGGCAAGGGACGTTAAAGAACCCACATCACGAGATTACTGTGATGTGGTCTGGCCTGTTTACTGGGAAGGGGGGGAGGGGGCATCTGTAAAAAAATTTCTCCTTTATTAATTGTAAACTGCCGCCGGCAGTCTGGAAAAGTCCCCCGCACAGTGTTGTAAAGCGCATTAGAGCATTTACATGGAAATGCGCTATAGAAATTGATCTATACTACTACTACTCTATACTATGATTGTTGTCTCTACTGACAACAATCATTCACTTGACTCTGATGATGACTTCCGCACAGGTTGTCGAAACGTCAGTCACTACCACCGACAACAGTCCTTCTCAGGACTACACTCACCCGGACGATCAGACTACACCTTCACATGTGACCCCCGGGTCTAAGCCATTTACTGCACAGATGGCATAGTTTCATTCAATGCAAAGTAACCCAGACTGGCAAATAACACTTTTTCCTGCAGTAATTTGGTTTATAAATGAGTTTGTATCCACGACTGCCTCATAAAATTATTGAATCGGTACTTAATATACATTCTACTGGGCAAACCTTCGGTAACCTTCAAAACTTATACATATACGTCATGTAACACAGCAGTGACTAGACACCAAAGTAAGTTACAAACTACATTTCTAGTCAAGTGTGCTCTAGTTCCAGGTAGTTTTTGACTATGACAAATGACAAATTTTAGTTCACTGCAGCAATTATGAGAATATTCCTTCCAACTATTCTGAAACAATTATTTTCCTGAAATGCAAACAGAAATGAAGTCAAAGAAAATTTTCATTGGGACTTGACAATCCTTCTCGTGGAAAAAAATAAAATAAATAAAAATTAAAATATTCCTGTTCTTTGATCCTTCGTTGTTGCTCATGAAGACTGTATGACGTTTTAAGCACCGCAACAATTGTCTGTTTCTGGGGGGTTTTAACTAAAGAGAGGTTTCTTAGTTCCACCTCACTGCGCTGTGAAAGTTAAAACACCTTACGACCAAAAGTGTACTTTTAGCATCAAGTTTTTTCTCTGGCCTTGAAAGTGAACTGTAATGACCTCAACCGATTTAAGAATGTTCTCATATTCATAAAAATAATACTAATTAATCACTGTGCAACTTGTTTTTGGTGAGCAGAGGTGTGGCAACTAGCTCTGATCTTGAGAGTTGAGTGGCTAAGAATGTAGAAAACTAGGTAGGGGCTTTAGTATGAGACTGCTTACTTATTGATCGTGATTGAGTTTGAAGAAAGCTGAAGAGTGACACTAAATTAATGCCTATTGCACCCTCCAGAATGCAGAGGCTGAGTGAGTTTCTATCTGACAGTCTACCTGGTCTTTTTCTAGGCTGAATCCAGAGAAAATATTTGATGAACTCCATGCTTGCCCAAAAGAGGTTTGTTTGTAATTTTTTAGTTTAAATGTTTACAATTTTGTTCTTCAGTTCAGTTTGATTAATGAACTAATTTTTATGTCAGACCATCAAACATCAAGCAGGGGAGTTCCATCATGTCATACAGAAGCATATAATATTAAATGACACAACTGGTAAGTATTATGCATGTGTAAAATTTTTCAACTCCTGGTATTTTGATTATGATTATCTGTTAAAGACAAGTTCCTCATACTCATGGACTGTATCTGGATATTATGAGAGCCATGTTAGGAGTGCTAACATGGTCTACACTTTGCTGGGGTCTTTGCTCTGAATAATGCTTTATTTAGACTTTTATTTAGAATCACTGGGGAAAAGGATACTCAATTTAATGCTCTTCTCTTATGATTAAGGTTTGATTGAAAAAATGCACAGCTGGCTTGAAAAGGGGGAGAAACCTAAAGCCCAAATACTACGGTTCATGGTAAGAATCAAGCAAACTTACTATAGTCATTTTTAAAGTGGATTACTCGTCGGAGTGACAATGGATTAAAATTACCAAGAGTTGATTAGAATGAAACATGTAAATTTGTTTGTTTTCTAGGCCCATCTTGTTTTGTTTCTACGATCAGCTGGAATCGAGTCAGAGGTTTGACCCTTAAAATCTTGCCCACGTCTGTATTAGGACTGCATTTCTTTCCTCATTTTTGACATCTATTTTCAGAGAAGGCAGGCAGATTAGTAACGATCTGTGTTGTAATAAGTAGTAATCAAAGATCAGTGAATTGCACTTTAACATGTACTTTCTCATCGGCTGATTAGCTTGAATTCAGTATAGTTTTGCTTTTCAATGCTGCTTCTTTACTTTTCTCTATTCTGGTTGTAATCCCGTTCCACAAACACAATCTAAATTTAATTGGATGTCAAGCATTCTCCTAAGCACAAAAGCAACTTTTGTAGAATATTTTAAAGCAACAATGGACATTTGACTCAATTATTTCAAACGGACCATCAGTTGCGCTTACTTATGAATAACTCAAGAGTTGATTTCTTTATCTTATAGGATGAGCCTTCCATTTCTATCAGTTACACTTGTTAACCGATTGATTGAAATATTTTATTGAAACAATGGCTGAATTAGGTTACAGTATGGACAGTGTTTGCAGTTTCCTATCTGCACATATTAAAACTACTTTCAACGTATACGTAGCCCTACTTAAGTGACTGGATTACGGATGGCTTTTCTCCTCATTAATTTTCCAAGTTTATAAGTGACGTGTCTCAAAGACTCGTTGACTTTTCTCTTTTCGCTTGTGTCCTGACAGACTGATTTGGATAAATGTGTGTCCATCTTAAAAGCTTATGTGCAGGTGTGTACTTCTCTTTTATAAATGGTTTTAGATGAAGCTAAATTTGCCCAACGCGTCACTTCTTGAGTTCAAGCAATGGAGGCAGCGTGAAATATTGTCTTGTTGATGCTTGCGTGACTGTATTTTGAACAGTGATGTTAAAAAATTTTATATTTAGTGGTCTAGCAATGTGTACCGGTACTATGAACTGGCCTTTTTTCGGTGAATCAACTACCCATAGGAAAAGTGTTTTTCTTCCCAGGTTTTCTTCAAGGGTAAAACTAAGGTTATTAGTTTCTGAAAGGAAGTATCCGTTATGCAATATGAAGCGAATCCTGCGCTCTGATTGGCTACCCGAGCGGGAAAGATGGGCCCATCTTGCCTCCTCGGTATTGCCCGCTTTGATCCCGCGCTAGAAAAATATTCCAAAGCCCCTAATTTTTGGACAGTGTTGGCGATAGAGTCGCTAAAAGTGGCAGAAGACAGTCAAAACCAAGAAAACATAAACGATTTTCGCGGGTTCATTCTGCTAAGTTGGCCTTCTTCCCCGGCTCTCTAAATAAACAAGTCATTCTTTATTTTCAATAAAGCGAAACCTTTTTGCTCTATAAATCCTTTATTGATCAAGCTTGTTTGGTCAAGATGGCTGGATATTGTATGCCAATTTGTTATATTCTTTGTACCTTTTTATTCTAGACCGGTCTAGATGCCGGTCTAGGTGGGAAAATCTGGACAACTTTAAATGTTAAAGGCTGATAGTTCCGAAAGAAACTGTTTGGGGCTGCGTCGGTGGGAGTAACGAAATAATTTGGATATATCAATAAAGTTGAAATGGTAAATTGGCCACCGTAACAATTACAAAAGCTGACGTCTCGAGCGTTAGCCCTTCGTCGGAGCGAGGCAATACGGCTTTCCAGCAAAACCGAAGGTGTAATTTCTCGCATTTTCTATACATGGTCAAATCTGGACTGTTCTTTCCTTTTTTTTTTTCCGTAAAAGTGAACTGCTAACTATGAAAATCTTGAGTCAAATACACCTTATGAACAGTCCACTTCAGGCAGCGTGAATTTTTAATAATTATTATTTTTATTTCTTAAATTTCTATTTCTAGTTTATTTATGTATTTAATTATTCTTTTAATTTTTTTTTTTTAATTCTTTTTTTTAACTCCGCACTCCGCGTTTTCGGAACAGCCGAAGTTTTCCCGTTTTTTAATGAAAAATGCCGAAGTCACTCGCGAGAAAAAATTTTTTTCGCGAGGCATTTGTTTGCGACGTCACCAGCGTGCACAATGGAAAATTGAAGCACGCTCGCGCAATTGAATTTGATTGCACGAATTTACAAGCTATGTTATAATTGTATTCGTGTTTGGTGTGAATGCCATGGCTATAAAAGAGGCCCGAGTTAACGCTCCTCAAGCGTCTAGTTCATTTTGTGACGCGACGCTCCGAGATGCGTCTGAAATTTTGAGCCTCAAAAGCCACATTTTGGCGAAATTCAGTTATTATCGATTTTCTCGAAAATAAATCGATATTCAGCCAAACGAAGTATCCAGTGGTTTGTTTCACTCTTAGGCCAACCTAACTTGAGAATATGAGCCGAATCGATTTTTTGGCTGTTGGCACCATTTTTTTTTGAAAATGTTAGATTTTTTTGGGCACATTTGCTCTTAATTGCTTTCCATTACAATCCAGTTCGTGTGGAAAAAAAAATAATACGTGAAATATTTCCCAAGTCATGGTAATCACTTCGGCATAAAGTGAAATATTTAATTGGATGCGTTTACAGGGCTCCAGACGAATCCCTCGAGGTTTTTAACTATTTAGATGATGTTATGAGGGATGCGACTAAAAACAATTTGGAAGTCATTGTCATCGGTGATCTCAACTGTGACGTCTTTAATAACTCAAGGCAGACAGAGAGACTGCTGGGATTTACCATAGTCAATCAGCTTGAACAACTGATAAAAGAACCAACACGTGTGACTTCGACAACAAGCACCCTCATTGATGTGTTAATCACCTCAACACCTGGATTGTTTAAAAAAGCAGGTGCAATCAATATTGCTTTCAGCGACCATTATCCCATCTACGGTGTTATACATGGCTCAGCGACTCGCCCGGACAAACATCGTATCATAACAACGCGCTCCTGGAAAGACAAAAATGTAAATGATTTTATAGCTAACCTGAAGCAAGCTCCATGGTGCCTGATTGACTCTTTGAACGACGTTGACGACATGTGTTCAGCCTGGGAATCGGTGATGAAATCTTTGATTGACCAACATTTTCCGCTAAAGAAGAAGCGTATTCGTAGACAGACGCACCCGTGGCTTGACAGTAGTGTTCTTAAACTCATGAGAACGCGCGATCAAGTACACAAGAGGGCAAGAAAGTCACGACTGTCTGCGGATTGGAATGAATATAAATTCCTTCGAAACAGAGTCACCGCTATAAACAGAAAAGTCCGGAAGAATTATTTCAAAAACAAGCTCGAGGAAAACCGCAGCAAGCCCAAGGCCTTTTGGGACACAGTACGTCTAGTTTTGCCCTCCAGGAAAAACCGCACTGAGATCGACAAGTTAGTAGTCGATTGTAAAGAGCTAATCGACAAACATGACATCGCTAATTCACTAAACGAATATTTTGCAACAATTGCTTCCTCACTGTTAGCCAGTCAACAATCCCTCGGTTACCCTGCCGAGCTACAACAGACGGGCCCTTTAGCGTTTCCCAGTCACAGCTTCAATTTTCGCGCCGTGAGTGAAAACGACGTTTTCAAGGCTCTACGAACCATGGACATATCAAAGGCCACAGGTGCAGACACCATTCCAGCTAAAGTCATCAGGACTGCTGCACCATACATCAGCAATGTTGTAGCTAAGTTATTCAACACATCTTTCAGAAGCGGCCGCTTTCCGTCCATTTGGAAAACGGCAAGAGTAACTCCCTTGTTTAAAGGGGGGCTCCAGACCGAACGTGATAATTACAGACCAATTTCCATTCTTCCCTGTATCTCAAAAGTGCTTGAATCGTTTGCCAACACTGATCTTCAAGGTTTTACAGTAGACACCGGCCTCATCACTGACCATCAATTTGCATATGCCAGGTACTCGTCTACCACANAGTTGAGATCCGTAAAAACGCAAAAAAGAACTCGGCTTTTCACGCTTGGTCATTATCTCGTATGTCTAAAGGGCTATGGTGCAACGCAAACAACACAATCAACAACATTGTTTGCCTTTTCAGGATACAGTTATGAAAGATGATTGAGCTTGTCATTCCCTGCTGTATCTTTTTAATTATGGGGAATCTAGCCATTTTATCTCATAGATGATCTCAGGCTTTTACCTTCTATTGTCAGTAATTGTTTTTTTGTTCTCTCTGTCGTCCTACACTATGTTATGGTTTTACAAACTGCTTGTATTACAATCAAATGTTGATAATCTTTTTTCTCTTCAAGACGCTAATTGAAGAGAAACAAATTGACTTGGTAGCAACTTATGTTGCTACTCTGCCAGCAGAAATTCAAATAGAAACCTATGCATACTTTTTAGAAGGTAAATTATTTTTACTTTACTTTTTACTTCTATCAAATGAGCATTTGGAAAAGTAGAGGTTTAGTACAGTAAAAGTAATCATAACTTTAAACATATCTTGCAGATATTGTGGAGATGAAAGAAAGACAGAAATGTTTGGAGTTAGCAAGTAGTGCTGGTGGGTGTGTTACCATTTGGTTATTACATGTTCATATGGTCTGTACTTACATATTTTGTGATAAATAAACCAAGGGTTAACTCTTTTACAGTTGCCATGGGTGTCAAACATTTATAGCATCTAAAGAAATACGCAGTTCTTGACTTCACTTTGACACACTAAGCTCTATTGTAGTAGTACAACAAGTCCATTGTAGGACGATGTTTTTCGTCTAGTAACGAGCGTGGGACAAAGGAAAAATTCTGAGTCCCCACGAGGAAAAGAACCCCAGACATTCGGATTCCGCGCTCGCATGCTCTACCACTGGGCCTCAGAGACTCATTACCTTGTCAAAAAAACGCCGCCTTGGAAAGAGCTGTAACCATACAGGGCTCTAACCAAGTTAGCTGTGGAGCTATAGGGACTTGGGTTGATAGGATGATCAGCGTTATTTTCACCTTTAGTTTAGATACGTAAATTAACTGCGATGGTCTCTCTTTCATCAAAATCTTTACTTCGCCGTTCAGACTTAAAGTTTTCAAATTTTGTTTACTACAGTATTGTGCAAAAGTAATGCAAACACCTGTCGACGAAATTCGACGAAATTCCTGGCTTATTGATGAACTTTGGTTCGAAACGAAATTTTCGGGAGTTTTCGAGGCAGCAATTGTTAAAAATTATCCCAAATTTCGTGGATCAATTCACTGGGGACATTAGTAAATCTCGAAATTTCGAGAGAACGTTTGTTCCTCCCGAAAATTCGCGGTGAACTTTTCAGAGAAAATTCGCGCTCCATTATTCACGCAAACACCTTGTTTGTGGAAGTTAACTACCTCATAACTCATGGACTTTCCAGCTGTGATCTAGTCTCCAACCAAACTGCAACGTTAGCAACCTTGTGATTTCCTTTGTTTCGATGCGTTTCTCATCCCGATTACTTTCTCTCAAGATTCAGATGTACTCATGTTTACACTGAACAAGGAGTTGTACTGGGCGCCCTCCAAGGCCTTCATCAAGCTAAAACATTTACGACGATCATAGCCGCTGAGATTCCCCGATGCCGTTAAATGTAGACAAATATTCGTAAATCCTGTTCTTGAGTTTGCGTCTCGTCCATTTCGAGTGAATGCAGTGCATCAGAATAAGAAAGGATAATCTGAAGCAAGCACTTTTGATAGAAGGGGATACATTCAATTACTTTTTAGAAGCAAAAATGGAACGTTGTAAAACTGCAACTACTATGGCGATGAACTGAGCAATGGATCGGATCGAGTTTGAATGCAAAGTGGCCAAAATATATATATCACTGCAAACCTTACTTGAGAAACCTATATTACTTAATTCTTTGCATTCTTTACAATTAAGAGTGAAGGTTACCAATGGTCAAACATTTGGTGGCAACGGCTGAAAAATCAATTTCGCCCATATTTTTCAAGTAGGTCTCAATGGGAAATAAACCACTGCATACTTCGTTTGGCTGAATATCGATTTATTTTGGGTGTGAACAAAACCTGGCCTAGACCATGGCCTACCCTGTGGCCTACCCTATGGCCTACCGGTGGTCAGACTTTTAAGAACATAAAAATGAAATCAGTAAGAGTCGAACGAATACGCTTTTGTACAATTATCTGTCTCTAAAAAGAGTATACTAAGAGGTCGCTAACACGATTTTCAACGTCCGAGGGAACGAAACACTGCAAATATCACAGCTTTCAACTATAACGGTAGGTTAAGGGGGAGGGGAGAGGAGGGGCCAATATTGCGTGGTCGCAGAGGATAATCAAAATGGCGGCTTTATGATGCAGGCTGTCAGTTGGTAACATATAGTGGAGTGCTGGTGTAAAAATGTAATGAACGGCGTTATATTGGAGAGCATGCATATCCAGGTAAGATAAGGTTATTAGTTCGTGCCAGGCCAATTTTTTAAGTGCCCTCAAGTGCTGTAGAGTATTGAATTTGCAACGAGCACCCCGGGACACGCACGCATCGCCGTCGTAAACATTTCGCAAACTTTACTTGCTTTTCCAAAGAAACGGCCAGTAATGCACTAATTTGAAAGGAGAGCTGATATGATGATGTTTGCCCAAAAGTTGCGTTTAACCGGCTTCTGTTCCTCGATTTCCTTATTCTGTCAGAAGGATAAGAAATTTTGATCGGAATGTGGCCGCCAAAAAAGTAGAAGAAAGTCGTTGATAAGACAGTACTCAGGAAAACGTTGAAAGGTTTCCAGCAATGCTATCCTTTTAGAAATCTTACCACCGGTAGGCCACAGGGTAGGCCACAGGGTAGGCCACAGGGTAGGCCACAGGGTAGGCCACAGGGTAGGCCACAGGGTAGGCCATGGCCAAGGCCAGGTTTTGTCCACACCCTTTATTTTCGAGAAAATCGATAATAACTGAATTCCGCCAAAATGTGGCTTTTGAGGTTCAAAATTTCAGACGCATCTCGGAGCGTCGCGTCACAAAATGAAAAAAAAAACAGAATTGATAAAAAAGTACCAAATATTGAAAAACAACATCAAAACATATGTTGATTGTATTTTGAGCAATTCTTGACCATTTATTTACACAATCTAATTGAATTTATACGACCTACTTCCAACTAGATTTAAAATAGGTAAGAAGTAGCCCGTGATTTAATTATGTGCTATACAAAATAATTAACCGGAAATCTGGGTTTCAGAAGGGGGAAGGTAGTTCGTTTGGATGTCAAAGGGTTTGTTCGGGAAATGATTCGGGGCGATTTAATCAAATTTTGAAGTTGGATAAAATGCGCTGATTCGACGGCGTCGTCAATTAGTCGAAAATGTACACATACTCACGCAAACTCAATTTTTTCGCATTTTACGTCCAATCTACTGCTTATTTAACATAATATGCTCTTACCCTCCACGTTTCCGAGGATTGCAGTCCTGAAATTGTTGCATCTCCCTCACAATAGCGATATTACTAGGAAGGATAGTCAACGCCTCCTAATAATGATTGCTCACAAAGCGTATCTCGGGGTTTTTGATTCGAGGTTTCTCTATTCCCATTTCGTTGAAAGAGAGGCTTTAATTACTTCAAGTAAGAGATCTTTGCTTAAATGTTAGTCTTCAACCGAACTGCAAACCAGATGTAAGCGGAATTTTGCTGGTTCAGAAACGTGTTTCTCGTGGGTGGAACAACACTAATTAATTCAAAATGAGATCAACTGAAATCGACAACTTCGCAAAAACAGAACAATTGTGCTGTGAAACACGTGGCTTCAGGAACTTAGGTTTTGTTTTAAATATACGAAACATTTCGTGATTAAATGTATTCTAATTAAATGTATCATGGTATTTTATCATGGTACTTTATCATGGTCATTGATCATGGTATGACAAATACAACATTTGTGAAATCGCGTGCCAGTCCAAGTTGTCAAAGTTTTCCTTTGGGATCCTACGGGAGATCTGCACTGCGCTTGAACTAGATGTTTCTTCAATAACCAAATATCTAATGTAAAACCTTGAACTCCCTGCCTGCTAAAAGACCCACGCCCTGTCGGAAAATCTAACAGATTACTGACGTACCTTGCTGATCTGCTATAGCTAAACAAGGGAGTGTTTTTTAGGCCGTCTATAGGAAGAAGTCATTTACTTCTTAAATTTAATTAACTTGGAAGGCCAGATTAAGCACAACATGGCTTTGCTTGCTCTTTTTCTCTAGAAAAGTATAGATGTTAGCTTTTACGCAGTAGGCGTGAAAATTCTGTTCTGATCAGACAACAGGCCTATAATGTATCTTTACGCATCATCTACACTTTATAATATGTCGCCGTGTAAATCATTGATGGCTTTGAACCCGACCGTATTTGAGAGGGATAAATGACTTCTTACTTGGCTAGCCTCACCGACAAGAGTACCAAATAACTTACTAGTTGGGTTGATTCTTTCAAAGCCACTGTTTCAAATATACAAAATCAGTACAATTAAGGTGGCTCGTACCGGTTTTCATCTTTTTGATGTTTGTAACTTTGAAAGAGTACAACAGAAAGACTGACCAAGGCCAGTTGAACACTTTTACGGGGTTGAATTATTTAATCATTGGTTATCCAAAAATAGGTGTCATTTCGTCGCTAGCAGTTTCCATGGCAACGCTTTCATATGCTTATTCAGACGCATTTTTTAGCTTGTGGCTTAAATAATTCGAAAACTAACCCGGTGACCCCGTGATTTTTTTTCAGTGATTGCTTTTGGCACTTGAAAAGGAAAATGCACCAAGATTTTTAAAAAATTTTACGGAGCGGAATTTCAGAAAATCTAGAAAAAAGGCAATTTTTACACATCGCAAATTTCCTTCCGTAGAATTTTCTATTTTTTTTTTCTGACGATTTTTTCCGACGTTATTATCATATTGGAACAATAAGAAGGGGTCACCGGACTTGTTTTCATGCAATAGCTTTCGTGAGTTTAGCAATTTCCACGCGCGTTCTCGCGCATTTAAAAATCTGGATTCCATAAGATCGGCATTTGCTCATGATCTGTTATAGCTACCGCTGACAATTGCGTGTGCTCGTGCGAGCGCCTACGATCTGATGTTTACAGACGTTTACTGCTAAGAAAATCATTAAACAGCTGTCAAAGACAGCCTCCCGGGCTCATCTTAAAAATCCTACACACGACTTCTGGCTATATCATATTATTTTCCTTTAAGTTTCAAAGTCTTCTTCCACTTCAGGTAGATTATCCTTCACTTGAGTTCTTCTTTTTTCGCCGTCGCAAGATTTCATATCGGTTGAATATTTCTTTTAAATGTGAAGTGAAGCAACCTTTACTTCTCCGAAAATCGTCTTCTTTATCTTAGTTTCTATCTCCTGCATTCACAGTAGCCGCTCAACACATCAAATACAAGCTCTTAGGTAAACTTCTCACAAAAGTAGAAAAAATTCCACGCGCCGCCATCTTTGTTTTGAATTTTCATCTTTTGATCTCGCGCTTCTTTCGCACGTTTCTCTCGCGCGCGTCACGCAAGAGTGACCTGTTCCCCGCGCGAGGA